AATTATACTACTTTTGTTGTCTTTTTAAAAGTACTTTCACTCCAAAAAATTCCCTTTCATTGTTTAGTGTCATGATGTTAAGTTTCAATACAATTGTTTCCATGAGAATGCTTTGTATAAGATAATATGAAGGAACTGAAGCTGTCCATGAAAATAATAATGAAAAAATATTCTGAGCACTGTAGGACATGATGTTCTTAAAATCCTTTGTCTGACATGGGTTAACTTGGGTTAGCTATGTGCCATGAAAACTGAAAAGCAACATGTGACGGGGTAACTTCATTCCTTACCAGAAATGTTAGAGTCCTGATTTTTTATTTTTAGAAGGTAAGATTCTGAAGATTAAAAAAAAAAAAAAAAAAAAAAAAAAAAAAAAATATATATATATATATATATATATATATATATATATATATATATATATATATAAAACGAGTTAATGGAGTGTTACACAATCTCTGGCACTTTTTGTGATACATGACTTTTTAGAAAAGCCTCATCCAACACAAAGTTCCCTCACCCAGAAAGTGGGAATCGAACCACTGGCTCCCTGTCCTTCACAACCAATTGCAATTGCAGAAGCCCAGCCCTTTGGCAAGGACAAATTCAGGTGTCAGCTCCATGGAGGATTCACTGTGCATTGCTCTGAGAAAAATTCTGAAGGGCAATGCTCCCTAAAGTGTGTGAGTTTCCCAAAGCAGTTTCACTGCAGCAGCATGGAGCCTGAGGAGCAGCCTGCACCACCAGGAAAGGAGAACAACATGACAGGTCTGATGCCTTGGATACTGTCATGGAGCCAGCGTGGAAACCAGGTGAGTGATGCCATTCCAAAACATTCACTCACAGGGTACAGTGCACAAACAAGCCTAGGCTGCAATCAGAGAAACATTCCCACAGTTATGTCCATAGCTGTCTATGGAACTATGGACATATGGACTATTGTCTTTGGACAAAAGACTCATTGAGCAACGACAGAAAAAAAAAAAAGAATAACTGAGAAAAACTACAACAGAATATTCTTGCTAATATGGGCTATATCACATGTAAGATCAACACAAAACCTTTCTGCAGATCAGCTGCAGTGATTATTTTCAATCTGGCAAGGGAACGTTCTTTGCCTTCTTTTCTCTCTCCCCCGTCTCTTAATGCTTTCTCTATTGTCATGGCAAATTTCTAAATTTGCTTGTATTCTGCAGTTAGGTAACATCAGATTTTGAAACTCTGTCTTTCTAAGTATATATATAATCCTGGTCACCAGGCAAAATTTGATATTAAGTGATGTTAAAATGATGAGATAAAAATATCTGAAATTCTAGAAATTTGGCAAGTGAGGGAGGAGAACCAGTCCCCATGTGGTAAGGTGAAAAGTAGCACTATTAGCCAGGTGATACTAAGGTGTCAATCAGGTCAGGAAATTTCACCAGAGCCATGATTTTATTTTCCCTTGTCTATTTTCAAATCCCTCTTTACTGTTAGGATAAACAAACAAATACTGAAGCATTAGAGGTCACCCTGCACAATGTAAAATTAGTATATTATATGCTGTCATAATTATTTCCAGTGTTAGTTTGGGCAAGGAGAGGAAATGAGCAGTACCAATCCAGTCTTTCTGAAAATTCCATGGACAGACAGCAGTGCAAGAGAAGATGAGGGGATCAGCCACTTGGGGATCCTCCGCAGTCAATTATATAGAAACTGCTTTTGTCTTGACAGTAATGAAAACAAGACAGGGAAGGTACAGATCTTCAGGCTACATGTGGTGACTTATAAATCAGATGTTGTGGAGTCTGGTTTACTGCAGGAAGGTGGATTTAATGAAAACTTGTGCCTGGCAGGAGGTTCTGCAGCTCACAAACAGACTATGGGGAAAATACGCTTCTGGAGAAATGTCACAAAAAGGCACTATCCAAGCTTGGCAAATTGACTCTAAAGAGACAATTGATGTATTTTGGCACAAAGGGCGCAGGAAAATAAGTAAGGGTACCTCTGGATCCCAGCATTTCCTGGAGAGTTGCTTCTATATCTTAAATGTATACACTTACACTTCAGGGACAAGGTAAAACTTATTAAAAACAAAGTAGGCTCACTGTGCCCAGTTTAGGGCATTTGGAAGTTTTTTCATGTTACATTTTGTGAGCTGATTTTATTTACTTTCAGAATCAAAATATATCGTGGTCTTACTACAATATCTTGTTACTTATTTTGTCTGTTTTGAACAAAATTTGATTTTGAAATTGTGAAAATGAAACTACTGTACCTACGTACCTGAGGTTATCAGATCCGGATGGTGAAAATAGTTAATATCCTCAGATGGACAGCCCTCCCCTTCACCACCCCACTTCTCAAAAAGCAAGTTATTCTTCATTCTCTGCCCTGTCTCATGGAAAAGAAATTAAAACTTAGAAGAAACAAAAGTCTAGTTTATTTGTTCACAGCATGGAAAAAAAAAAAAAGAAAAAAGTTAAAAAAGAAAGGTAAAAAAAAGTTTAAAAATAAGAAAAAAAAATAGAGCTTTCTAACAAATGTATACAAGATAACATTGTAGACAAACATTATCCTGGCAAAAGAAGATGCTGAAAGCCAATAATAGTTTTAGTTTCAGCAACTAAAAAACTTCATGAGAACAACAGGTATGTGTAAATTGTTCCGTTACTTTGTGGAAGCAAAATTGTCTCGTTCATGGATAACATCAAGTGATTTATAATAAAATTCAAGAGAAAAAAAAAATCCACAGAAAGGGCAATAAAAGGCCTGTGTGAAATTTCCATTTGTTAGGTAAAGTTCTCTAAAAAAGGTGATTTTCCTTTGCAAAATAACGAGAATTTGCCTCAATACCCCTGAGCAGGAGTCACACCTGAAGTTTCCACTTCCTAGTCAAAAGATTTCTCCCATCCCATTCACATCTGCCTGGAAAAGACCGAGTGTCCTGCTCTGTACTGCTGTGACTGGGGCTCTTCACTTCCTCTCTGTGAGGAAGGCAGAGAGGAAGGGAACTCATGTCTACCACATCATTCCTGTAGCTTCACAAGTTGCTGAATTCCAGAACTTTTTCCTTTGTATTCATAAAAAAAATGAAGAAAACAGAATTTTATGCCAATTTTTAATTTCAGGTCAAATTGAATATTTGCCTAAGTAGATGATCTTTTTGTTTTGTTGGGTTTTGGGCTTTTACAGTATGAACAAAGAGAATAAACTTTTGGATTCAAACTAAAACTCTGCCTCTTTTCTCTGAAGCTGAAGAGATAAAGAACAATTTGTTTTTTGGGAGGAGGATGGTGAAGGGAAGGCTGTCCAAAGAGGAGAATTTTTGCTGCTTTCACAACCCTGATCTGATCACCTTTGCCAGAAGAGCAGTTGCAGGATGAGGGCTGATGCTTGTGCTGAACTTTGTCATTCCTGTTGACTGAGGTCTGCAGAACCCCAGCCCTGAGAGGGAGGGTTCCTGCAGCTTCTTGCCCTCTGCTGGGCAGGAAGGCCACTTTTCAGAGGGGACAGCTCTGGGGCATTTGGCCCTTAATGTCACGTGTATGGGGGGCCAAAGCTCCCACATCATCACACACTTGAGACACACTGAATCACACTGGACCTCAGCAGAGGCTGGAGCCCAAACCCCTCACAGTGTCAGGGCTGGGGTGGGGCTCCTGCCCAGGCACAGCACTTATATTTGGGATAGGTATATCTGCTGGATATTCAAAATATCCTGTACAACTGGATCTCACATGTTACCAGCTAAAGTATAACCACATCATACCCTGGCCTGGGCAGAAGAGTTGATGTAAATTATTTCTGTCCTGTGTTGCTCATTCCCACCCTCACACCATAGGTTGCTTCTCCCTCAGCTGTGTTAATATGATATTTTGTCTTTTTAAAAAATTTACAATAAGTCTGATCACTGAAAATCTGTATTAAAATCAATCCTTTGGAGAAGAAGTAAAGATTTTTTAGGAAAAATCCTAGAAGTACATATATCTAAGCCACAAGGAAAGCCCCTCTCCAGACACAACCAAACACAAATCATGGCATTCTTTTTGACACAAAGACAACTTATGTTGCCAGAATGTGCAAGTTACTTGCCCAATTAAAATAATGCAGGTTTCCTTTCATAACACTGCTGTCACGGATTAGTCACAGAATTGTTTTTGCAGATTCTTTATGCAAAATAACTTCTTAAGTTTAAAACAAACTATAGTATTGGTAATCTTCTATACCACTGTTCAAATGTCTCAGAAACTCATTAACCAGAAAATCTTTCCCAAGTTTTCACCTTCTGATTTAGAGAAGTACACTTCTGTCTCTGCAATTAACTGAGTAACAGGAAAAAACAGAGCCACAAAACTTGTACCGATACATCCCGAAAAATAGATTATCAGCAAGAAATAAATACAAGGAGAACTCTGAAAAATGCTGATTTTAACAAAGGAATACCCTGAACCCTGCTTGACAGTCTAGGAACTAGGAACAAGCTTATGTTTTTGGGGAGCTAAAGGAAGACGAAAAAAAAACTGAAAAAAAATTTACTAGCAGTTCAAAATTTCAAGGTGAATATCATAAAGTACTGCAAGGGATGAACAGCCCAGAAAAGAGGAAGGTTTTTTGATGCTGAACACAGCCATTACCAGCGATGTCCCTCTCTGTCCCCAATAAACAGAGGGAAAACAAGACCCAATTCAAAACTGATAGCGGGAAAACCCGGAATCTCTACCTCTGTCTCATTCCATATACCGGACCCTTCCTTAGCCAAAGGCGTTAAGTCAGGGCTGGCAAGTCACACCCATCTCTGCCCCTCGCTGCCTGGGGTCCCGTCCCCCGCGGGGCTGCAGGGCAGCATCCCAGAAGCGGGAGGGCGGCACTCAGCCCCGGCACGGCTGCTGCCCCGGCTCGGCTCCGCTCGGCGCTGGGGGCGGAGGCGGCGGCAGCCGAGCCGCGCTGCCCCGGCCGGGGTGCGGGCTGCCGGGGCTGCCGGGGCGGCGGGGGCGCGGCGCGGGATGCTCAGTGCTCACCCTGCGGTTGCGGTCGGCCTCCCGCACCTCCTCCTCCTGGGGGCCCTGGCGGATGAGCGCCTTCAGCACGATGCTGTTGTTGGTGCAGCAGGCTCGGAAGAGGCTGAGCGCCTCGGGGCTGTCGCGCTCGTCTCCTTCCAGAGACCAGATGTCCTCGTCGTCGTCGTCCAGCCCCCTAGGAGGGTAGAAGGAGTCGTCTGAGGCGATGCTGCAGGTGTCGGGCAGCTCGGAGAAGTCCTCGTACTCCTCGCAATCCTCCTCCTCCTCCTCCACCTCCTTCTCCTCCTCTTCGTCCGGCTCCTCGGCGGCAGCCTCCGCCGCCCCCTGCTCGGGGCTGCTCTCCGCCCCGGCGCCGGGCATCTCCTTGGCGGCGGCGGGCGCAGGGCAGACGCGCTCTCCGGGCAGCTGCTCGCCGTGCCCGGACAGCAGCACCATGCCGGGGCCCCGCGGGGCGCTCAGGGCGCCCGGCAGCCGCGGCTCTGCCTCGCCGGGCCCGGCGGCCGCTGCCCCCTCACGCAAGGGTCAGCTCCCTCCCGCGAGAGGCCCCGTGGCAGCCCGGCCGCCCCCCGGGCCGGGGCATGCCGCCGCCTGAGGGGAGGCTCCGCGGGGGCCGCTCACCGCCGCCGGCCCGGCCCGGCCCGGCCCGGCCCGGGGGAGCTGCCACCGCCGCGGGGAGCGGGGAGAGGTTGCGGGCGGGCAGGGCGGCTCTGGGGAGCGCAGGCACTTGTCGAACTCCCGTCCCGTAATCCGCTCAGCATCGCTGTGAGGAGATTGGGGCTGGGGTTTAGCGGCGGGGCGCGGTGCGGGGCGGTGTGCGGGGGGAGCGGGGGCGGCCGCGGCTGCTCCCTGCGGGCACCGAGCTGCAGGTGCGGGACCGCAGCTCCCCGAGCACCCCCGGGCTCCTCAGACTCCTGGGCTCGGAGGGGCCCGCGGCGAGCCCGCCTGAGGGGGCAGAGGCGGGAGCGGCCCCGGCCGCCGCTGGTCCTTCAACACCAACTGCGTGGTCCGAGAGCCGCGGCTGCAGCGATGTGCGCGAAACTTTTCAGGAATACAACCGGCCTGTGCGGAATTCGTCTTTTGAAATAAACACTGGCACTAAGGGGAATGACTGCACAGAATTGCCGTGCTGTAAAAGCAAGGAATTCATTAAATCAGCCCTGGCGCTTTAGCAGCTGTAGAGATATCAGGCACGTACGTTTTATGGAAGGCATTTGGAGATTAGGTTGAGAGGAATAATGCATGTATAAATTGAGTTCCTGCTTTGTCACAGTTCCTCTAAAATCTCTCTTCCCTTTCAAATGCCAGGGATTAGCACTGTTCTCTGGCAGGGAAACAGTGGGGAGAAGTCCTTTGGCCAACAAAATAGGGTATTTGCTTTCTTCAACAGCCTTTTGAAGTGAATCTCATATATTTGACATCTTTCAGCAAGTGAATGTCCAAGGTCCAAGTCCCTGTCTATCTGATGGGACAGAAAGGAGGTGGTATTCCTGCAGGACGTGAGGCAAAGTATGAGCCACATTTTTTACACTAAAAGAACATAGGAAAGAAAAGTAAAATGTAACTGTGAGTAAAGGGTGTAGGTGTTTACAGTCTTACAAGAAATCATTGTGTAAATCAGACATGATGGGTGATACAAAGCCCAGCAGCTCCTTGCTGAATCCTAACTGGCAGGGTTATCCCAGTGCCCAGCAGGAGGATAACTGTAAGCAGAATTAGTATTAAACAGTTCCCTGATTGGCTGCTTCTGCATAGGAGCTAAACTGGGAAAGAAGGAGATTAAACTATCCCGTCACCTCCAGACACCTCTGAGATCACAGCTGGTGTAGATTACCAGCTTGCTTATGCTGCCTGTCTCCCCTTATTTGCTTGGGTAGAGACAGGCCCTTTCTCCACTGCTGCTGGGTGTGTCTGCTCCCAAATCAAGCACTTCTGAGCTGCCTATATCTGCTGCACCACAGCGCTGTAGGATTCACTTTCTACACTTACTGTCTATCCATTTGTTATGTATTTGCATTCACAGAGTTTAGGGGCTCCATTCATTCAACTTCTTGTTTTCTTGTCAGTAAGTGCGGCCAATGAGCTGCTTAACAGAATGCTACCTCTTACAATAGCACTTGTATTTTGAGAAAACTTCATTTTTGCCTGAGATCCTGCAGCTGGTGAGGAGCATTTGAGTTTTCTCAGCCTGAACTCATCAGAAAAGCCCAGAAAGACTCTTGACTCTAGTAACTTCAAATAGCAGAAAAAGGCCGCAAAGTAATTCTACTACAGGGGAACAAAGGGGTTTTTTTTGAAGATTCAGCTCATCTGTAAGAATTCATTAATCAAATATACTTGCTTTGTTTCTTTCTTATATAATCAATTCAGAAGAATAAATATTTACCACATTACCAGACTGTTTTTTAAAATGTTATGTGGAATTTATTAGCAAAGAGGCAGGGACCACTAACTCTGAATATAAGGAAAACCAAAGCCAACAGAAAAAAAAAAAACCAACCTTGAAAAACCTTCATGCTAACTAGGGGGAAAACACAGTTATACAGGAAAAAAATAGTTTGACTCTCGAAAGTCATCCTTTTTTTCTCTCCGTGTTCAGTTTACCTTATCAGCTAATTAATAGAGGAAAAATGTATCAGTTTTCTCCCACAGCTGTAGTAATTCTGCAGGGACCTTGGAGATGAAAACTGTTTTCTCTTACCTCAGCCTGTCACTTTCATCTCTTCTCTCAAAGAACAGTGCTATACTGCTTAAGCTTTCAAAGCAAGGTGTCAGGCTGGAACAGGGCAGACATGGTGTTTCCCCTTGAATTTTTCACTTTTACAACTGGTATTGAGGCTGTATTTCAAATTATTTAACCTGCATGCATCTTGACAAAAAAGCTGGTGCAGCTAATCGGGCATAAACTGTTACTTGACTCCTTAAGATGCTGATGCAGCCATTTATCTTGTCACACACAGCTGCCCACCAAGGCTGCTCAGCTTGGGCACAGTCATAGATGTAAAGCAGATGATGTCTGGTTTCTTGATTCTTTCAGTGACACAGCTTGTATTATGTGACAAACAGGACTTCTTGTCCCTTGTGCTTCAGTGTGTAAATCAAAACATAAATTTGTGAGGAAAGGCCACAGAGTAAGTCTGCAGATTCTTTCAAATTATCCAAAACAACCCCTGTTTTCATGGCATTTGTAAGAGGACAGCCTCAAAATTTCATCTGGAAAAGAAATCACTTAATGTAATTGAATTTAAATGCTGGTATTCCTAAACTTTGTATCAAAATCTCAAAGCAAATACCCAAGAATTATGAGTCATTATCACTATCTGTATCTCATTAAAATCTATTGCTGGGAATTACCAAGGCAGGAAATTAAAATACTCAGTGCAGATACCTGGCCCTATGCAAACAAAGCTTCCCTTGAAGAAAACCAATTTTTGGAATGACTATATCGTGGGATGCCCCCAGTTTACCTCGTCAATTTATAAAACACTCTGAAATTGAGATTTAGTGATATTTATGTGCAATAATAAAGACAAGAGTAAGATAAATAGTAAGACTCAGTGAGTTTTATATGTTCTTACAGTCAACAATTTAACCTAAGGAAAAAAATTCATAATACATTGAAAGCTATTGCCAGTATTCTTAAAAGATGAAATCTAGTCACTACAAATACATTGGTTTCCAAAATAAAATAACTTTTGTTTTGGCTGTTTCCATTACTCAGGTGTCTAAAATTTCTGAATAACAAGAAGCCTGGTTGTTTAGTTTTTACCCATCTGACATCTAAATACTCATTTTTGAAATTCAGGGTGTATTTTTCTCTTCCTTAGTTGACCTTGTTGGTAAGACATTTAAGCTGTTTATGCACCTTGCTGGTGTATTCCCACCAACTGGCAACTTCAGCCGCTTCAGTGATCCAAGGGTTTTACAAACTCTTGGTGGCATCCCAGGTAGGTTTTTCTGCATCCATCTGGCTCCTCACTCATTTCTTTGTAGGTTTGTGCTGGGAGTGGGTGAAAGGATGGAGCAGCATCTCCTTACCTGGCAGCACCTGCAGTAGTTGCAATACCACAGTGTTAAACATGAGAGCCAGCTCACTCACCCCCTCTCTCTGTTTAGCAGCTTGTAAAAACTGTGAGATGCACAGAAAGGGTTTCTGTGGACACTGGAGCTCTCTTTCACAGCATTTCCACCAGCACCACTAAAGGAAGCATTCAGAGCACAAGGAAACCTCTCTTGAGCAGCCTCCTATCTTCACAGATGGGAGAGGAGCTGAAGCCCTCAGCTCCCTGTGGGGAGTGGGTTTGGTGACATGACCTGGGTTTGGTGACATGACCTAAGTCCGCATCATCCCAGTGCTGACCTGGTCCATGCCAAAGGCCACCACAGGTGATCCATGGAGGAAATGTGGGCACTGAGGGAAACAAGGTGCTAAAAGAGATAAGATACTGCTTTTTACTGATAGCATCCTTTGGAATTTTGGGGAGAGACTTTCAGAATTACTTCCTCCAAGCCTCACACTGGTCCTCAAAACACAGTGCCTGCATCTTCAAAAACTGTCTGCTTGAAGTTAATCTCAAGAGAGTTTATAGGCACAGATGTAAGCAAACTGGCTTCTGCGGTTGGTGAGTTCTTGGCAGAGCTAGCAGGCTAATAAATCCAACCTCTTGTTTATCATGCCTAATAATAATAATAATAATGTATTTTTGATTGGGGTGGTTTTCTACGGCTGTAGCGGGACTGTAAGCAGGCTGGCTGCTGTGAGGCATCAAAGTGCAATTAACCTAGTCAAAAACCATCAGGTGTTGTACTATTGGCAAGGTGTGTCTGAAGAAGGCATTCAAGGTAAAGAATTAAGCTGAAGAAATGATTAATAAAATGTTCCCTCTCAACTCTAAAGAGCCAAAGAGAGACAGAGTTATTTTCATATTTACCTGATTCGAGGTGTTGGAGAGAGCGTTTATAAACTAACAGATTCAGCAGCACTTGCTACGACTTCCTCACTTAAAAAGTCCTCTGGAAGGAGAAAGGTTGGAGTCTCCGTTTTCCTAAGCTCTGGCCAAGACTTGATGTGAAATCTTAGTTGATCTGAATAGTAACAGCTGCTAAGGAGTCATGAGTGGAAGTTGCAATATGTTTCCTAGAAACCAAAGGCTTGAGCTGAATGATGAGAGCAGAGCCAGAGAATAAAAAATACTAGCAACAATCTTATTAAATGTTAATGCTTTCTCAGTTGCTAGTATTGTTCCAGCACTTGCTCTGTCAAATTAAATGCTGTTTAAAGCATCTGTAGTACCACCTTATTGGTATCTCTGTGCAGTTAATACAATAAAGGGTTATAAGGGTATAAATGTAATACCAGTTCATTTAATTTCATTCACTAGCTCTGACTGAAAATAATCGATGTTCTGCTTTCAGTATGAACCTGTATTTTGTTTGCA